ACGTAATCATTGCAATGTCTTTTGGAGTATACGCAAATTATGTCACAGGAGATGCACTATAGCCCGCCTTATTGATACTGTAGCTGCTAATCTACTTAACGTCAAAGGAACCCATCCTTGAGTCATAACTCCTGTCCAAGACCCGAATGTATCATCAAATGGTTCACCTTCACATTTACAGAGTCCAATCCAGAAAACATTTTTGTTCCCTGATGGGATTGACCTAATGTAAGTCCTGACATCACAGCCTGCATAGGAGTATTGCAATGAATACATAATTCACCTGTAATTCATGCCTCCATACACTATTCATGGTGTTAGATATGTACCACAAACTTAACAGGCGATTCTTTGAGTAATTCTAAAACAAAAAGTTCATAAATATAAACATAGGTTCGCAAAATCTTCTGATGATGAATGAGACCCAACGAGATGGTCGCCGACAATTCCAATCCAAATATAAAAAGAAAATTGTTTCTGAAAAGTATGTTAATCAAGGCGCGTCGTTTGTTTTCGGGCCAAATGTGATTATTGTGGAAGTTAATAATTGAACTGAGGGAAAATCGAACTTCACTTGCGTAACCAATCAGAACAAGCTAGTCTTAAAGACAAATCTTCTTCGTCAGATCTGAAGTAACTGTATCTTTCACGAGATAGTAAGGCAAAATCTGCTTATAACTTTTACGAATTCCTCTTGACATAAAAGTAACGGCATGATTAGCTTGTCACTATATCCCAAGTCTTTAAAACCATAAATCTTGTCGTAATTACTTGATTAATTATTTTTCCATTCATTAAGGCACTACATGATTCCCGAAGTACAGTTTGTTGTGTGAAGGAATTTTTACCTGACATGTAGTATTAAAGAATTAAAAAAGTTGAGATGCTTATCGCCATCAGTGATATCCTATTTTTCTAGCAATGATATCTTTTTCTTTTCTAATTTCAAAAGTGCTTTAACCAAGTCATTTCTATGTTGCTTCGAGTCCCTTCGGGAACGCGTTACGGCGACATACAATTTTCAGGTATTTTTATATGGCAAAGTACTTTGAAAATGATGTAATTTTTGTAAGATTTGTCGCTTTTTGTGCGGCTGCTCCAAAAACGGCGAGTGTGACGAGTGTGAATCAAAGACTTAGTTTCTTCGACTTATTTTTGTCACAGAGTACTTGTTTATGGCATTTCAGATTCCGCTTCTCAATCCCCAGTTTCTGTCAGAACTAAAGACGCTTGGATATTTTCTTTCGCCTTTTTTTGGTGTGATTATTGCCAGGAATATGAAAAACCCAACCAGAACTGTTGTCCTAACACATTGGTTAGTTGTTATGCAATCTTCGACTAGAATGTTGCATGTGTACTTATGGATCACAACAGTTTGGTCATGAGGTGCGAAGTAAAACATCTACACAATTGAGATCCAATAACAAACCGTAAAAAAACCTATAAAAAAGTCATGATCTATTAGTTAGGTTGGAGAATACGAATTAGTTCTTTCCTTCAAGGATACTCAAACAAACAACCAACAGTGCACTCAAGAAGAAGAAAAAGAATTGTTAAATTTCATATAGACTGTTATTGTTATTACAAAAAGAAGTTGAAGCAGCAGCAAATTCTCACAAATCTATAGATCCATCACTTTCAGCACCTGATTTTTCAACTTGAAAAATGCAGCTCGGTGAAGAATCACAAGGTAACTGTTGTCTATTCAGACAATACTCTTCTAAAAGCTACGCGAAGTTACCTAGTGCCTTACAAGAATTGCCTTCATAATTCTTCATTATTGTCAATGGAAAACTGAAATTGTTGATTATTACAGTTTTTAATGCTGCAAATAAGCAGATGGGGTTCGTGTTGGAAATCCCACGTCTAATCTCGCAAAACAGGTTATCCACCGGATCTTACTATCAACTTCTGAAATGCCATTACTGTTTTTAGCCATGTGTACAACAGGTTTGTACGCATAAAACACTCTTACATGAAAACTGTTTATTGTCTAAAAACGAAAATACCCCATTTGAAGATGAGTAATGCAACAAATATAATTTACGAAACTTGAACTGTAATATGAACATAAAAAAACTAACAAAATGGGCCATTTAACAACATATTTGGTGTTGATATTCTACAACAAAAACAAATACTTTCTCGTATAAGGAAACGTACAATAATTCACATTTATCACTTTTCACGAAACAATGTAGCTGCTCTGTGACTTTGCATACTTATTACAGATTGTAGAACATTTTTTTCATTGTGTATTGTCATGTAACACCTACGTCGTTTTTTCCCTTTATCAACTGCATCAGGATCGAGAACTCTGGGCTGAGAAGTAGACGGCTTACTTTATTCGTCGTTGGTAATTTTGGATTCTTTGCATGGCTGAACGAAGCTCCCTAGGAAGTCTTGGATCTGATAAACGTCCTCTCATACGAAGTTAAATTAGAGTTTGCCTCAGGGGAACAATAAAATTTCGTCGCCTAATAGAACTTTCAGTCCCAGACTGAAAAAAAAGGAATTTACAGAAGCTGGTTGGATACCAAATAGCACAGGCCATCTTCTCGTTCTCTAACCAGTATTGTAATTTACACACTTCCGATCTAATGCATTACCCCGCCTTCATAGTGTTATAAAAATAATATAGAATCTTATCAGGTTTCTTTGATTCCTCTACTATTTTGTTATCATGCTGCATAGATTGCTATACGAGAACATGTGTATTTGGTTTTGGAAGATACTACTCTAAGGCTGTACAACATAAACTTAGAAGTACCTGGCTGTGTTTCCTTCTTATTTGGAACTACATGTTGGGGTACTTGTTACTTATTTTTACGCTTCCTGCCGACATAGGTCAGTTGGTTGATGCGCAATTCTACATGTAATTCTACTGACGTGAACCAGTCATCTGCTGTGATATTTCTGTTCGTATAGACGAAAGCATTGAGCAGGTAGTGGTGAGTCTTTGCATCATCAGTCCATACTTATTCGGTTTAGTTTTCTTGTAGGCACAGGAAGGACATCGACCCACGAGCATCTCGTATTTTGTAGGGGACTCACCCGAAATATAACAATTTCGACAGTTCTCTATGAGTGTCTCGAAAATGTCACATATTTGGAGAAATTTATCGGCATTTCTCGAGTCACAGGGTTATTATTTTCCAGATTGGTTGCCACGGACTTTAGTTCAGGTAAATGCGTAATAATCGACCAGTTGCAGGCGCTCGTTTTGACCAATTGTACATGTTTTTTCCATAGGCATAGCGAGGTCGCCCATAGGAAGTTGTTCAGGTTGATCGATAGCAGCGTCGTCCTCGGCGTAGTCTATAGTGTATTGTTCATCCGTCAACAACGAAAAAATCCATTGTGAAGGAAGTTCAAATCGTACACGCAACTGACATCCTCGGATCAAATTTGACCGCAAAGTCAGCAAACCAACAATTGTGATGTTTAAATTAAACTGTGGTTTGAGGTATACGTGCTCATACCGTATGAGAAGTCACGGGACCCCCACCACATAACTGAGAAAGCTCGAATCATCCGACGATATCATTAAAGGATTAATTTCTATATTCTTGAACGAATCTATAAAATCAAAGTGGCTGGGTTTCAATTTACATAGCTCTTTGTATGGTCTTGTTTGCTGATCAACATTATATGATTTCTAGACATGTTCAATCTGTGCAGCTTCTTCACTTTCATATTAATGTCAATAAGAGCATTTCATCCATTTTTGAATAAATGTGGTTCATCACAAATTGTAGAAATACTCTGAGCATTGACTATAAAATGGAATGGACTTGATCCGTGAGTATTCTCCGAGCAAATCGTCTCAAGTGCGTTTTTGATCGTTGCGCCCTGATTAGAAATAGTGCCAACAACGCACAAACCAAGTCGCTGCTAGTTTGTGATCACATGAACAATAATCGTTTTCAGATCTGGGATTCTTGTATCTTTTACTAGATAATAAGCCACAACCTGCTTATAATTTTTACGAATCCCTCTTATCATGGAAGTAAGGGCATGATTTCTGATAAATCACTTTTTCAGAGTTCTAGTTGATTTTGTTACATCAGAATTCAAGATTTATCAGCTGAAAATTGTACACTGTGAGCACTGGGATCAGCCCTAAACTTTGTCCAAACCCTGCAATAATCGTAAACACTAAACAAGGGTAGACATATTTCTAGTTTAACTGCCTGAAGATTTTCTCTATGGTTTATACGTAACTCTCCACCTATTATCTCATTTTTGTACATGTTCTGGGAGAACTCAACTTGCTCCCTATAAAATGCAACGTCTTCCTGCACAGGTGGTTCTGGTTAAGTGCCAGCCTGCTTCGGGTTTGTAATTAGTTGTTGCAATTTTCTGATTTCGTCGACCTTTTTCATAATCCAGATTTCGTTTTGGCATTCCAGTTCAGCCATTTGATCCTGAAGCTCTTTTATAGTAGAATCATTATGGCATCGTATATCTGAGATTTTAAATGAGTGGTTGACCTCACGTTGGTTACTCTCGTCCATCAGACTCTTTACGTCATTTCTCAGTTTAGATTCAAGTTCTTTTAGGAAGCCAATTTCATCTTGCAGTTCAGCAATGTGTGACATCGTTACATCAGTTTGTGCAGCAGCACTTAAAGAATGTTGCATATCTTCGTACTCAGCGTCAAGCATAGCTTCTAAGTCTGCAACCTTCTTTTTTGACTCAATATTTTGAGCTTCAAGAGATGGTTTAGGGCTCTCTGATCTTCCTAGGTTCTTCAGTTGAGTACGCAGCATCTCTATTTCTGACTCGTATGTTTTTAGTCTTTTTATTATTTTTTTCCAGAAAATCGAGTCTGTATTGCAAGTCGATGAAATTCTTGCGCTTTTGAGAATTTTTTTGAACTCTTTCTATTTCTTCGTTGTACGCATCCGTTACTTGGCGGAGTTCCTGACTGTAACGATCGAATTTAGAATTGGCTTCTGTGAGCTGTTTCTTCAGGTCCAAAATCTCCAGCTGATTATCTAGTTTAGTGAATTCTCTAAGCTCATTGAAAGATTCTTCCAGTTCTTTGAGTTGTCTTTTAAGTACACTTGCACGTCTTCAGCTATCACAGATTCTGCTTCGGCTAGTGCCTCCTCATATGTCTCTTCTTGAATAGGCCTCATTTCACGTCCGGATGATTCTTCTTTGGGTGGATAATTTTTCAATGGCATATACCCTAGGGATGCTTTTTTAGGTGATACGTTGCCATAGTGTCCAAAAGTATGACGTCTTAATGTTTTTTTCGGTGTTGATGCCGAGGCTCCCATTTGAAAGCGCCCGACAATAGATACTTCCGTTTTTAGTCTTTCTATCTCGAGCAGATACTCTTGTTTGCTTTTATCCATCTCTTTTAGCTTAATTGCCTGCTTTTTGAGCCGAGTTTCGAGATCGCGAGTCAAGTTCTGATATCCTTGAAGTGTCTCTTCTGTAGCTGACAAGATGTTTACTTTCGTTTTATTTTTGACAGTTTTAGTGCTTTTGGCGAATTCTGGTGTAGATCTAGTCTCCTCCTCTGCAGCTAAAGTAACATTCCCGATAATCAATGATTTGGCATTACCGCCAAGAGCCTGTGAGAGCAGTCTAGTCAATTTCGAATCGCGATAACTGATAAACTCCTTCCCCTCGCTTAGTTGCCTTATCACATTTCCTAATACTGACAAAGATTTGTTTATGTTAGCCCCCTCTTTAAGACGCTCACCAGCAGCTTTCGTCAGAGAAACTCTCTCAGAACCAGCTAAGTCCATTAAGTTAAGGTAGCTTATATGTACAGGTCCATCTTTCTGATTGGCATCTTTCGACTCCAGAATAATCCGGAAAATCGTGTGTGATCGAGATGACCTCTCATTCATGCGAGTAGCTGCAACTCGTCTGATCTTATTGCCCTGCATCATGTTCTCCATAACTTTATCAACATTGTCTACGACAGCTTCCCTTGCATCAAGCAGCACATTTCCTTTGATATCTTCTCTTATAGTTAAACCCTGATTGCTCTTATCCAGGAGGTCATTGATCTTTTCATTGTAGATTTCAATATAACTGCATCTAATCAAGTACCTCTTATCAACCTGGTCTGCCACATGCTGGAATAACTGATTGGATACTAATTGGAAAAGCCCAGGATCTGTTTTATTGCCCAAAATGGTGTGTGTTTTGCCAGAAGATGTTTGGCCATATGCAAATATTGTGGCATTGAAACCTTCCATGAAGGAATCGACTAAAGGTTCTACTACAGATCCATATACATCTGAATTTGTACATTCCTGCTTAAATACATGGTCGAATATATAAACCTCTCCATGGCGACTACTTTCATCGGCTTCCCATATGCAGTTTACTCTTACGTTCCAAAGACGCTCTAGACCATCGGCTACTTCGCGGTGGATCATTGGTCTGATCTTTGTGGCTACTTTAATATTGTCGGAAGTCATTTGGAAGCTTGAACTGAAATTTAATTAGAACTAGGGCTATTTCACGGGTTATAAAGAGGGTCACTTTTCATAATCCAGATTTCGTTTTGGCATTCCAGTTCAGCCATTTGATCCTGAAGCTCTTTTATAGTAGAATCATTATGGCATCGTATATCTGAGATTTTAAATGAGTGGTTGACCTCACGTTGGTTACTCTCGTCCATCAGACTCTTTACGTCATTTCTCAGTTTAGATTCAAGTTCTTTTAGGAAGCCAATTTCATCTTGCAGTTCAGCAATGTGTGACATCGTTACATCAGTTTGTGTAGCAGCACTTAAAGAATCTTGCATATCTTCGTACTCAGCGTCAAGCATAGCTTCTAAGTCTGCAACCTTCTTTTTGACTCAATATTTGAGCTTCAAGAGATGGTTTAGGGCTCTCTGATCTTCCTAGGTTCTTCAGTTGAGTACGCAGCATCTCTATTTCTGACTCGTATGTTTTTAGTCTTTTTATTATTTTTTTCCAGAAAATCGAGTCTGTATTGCAAGTCGATGAAATTCTTGCGCTTTTTGAGAATTTTTTTGAACTCTTTCTATTTCTTCGTTGTACGCATCCGTTACTTGGCGGAGTTCCTGACTGTAACGATCGATTTAGAATTGGCTTCTGTGAGCTGTTTCTTCAGGTCCAAAATCTCCAGCTGATTATCTAGTTTAGTGAATTCTCTAAGCTCATTGAAAGATTCTTCCAGTTCTTTGCGTTGTCTTTTAAGTACACTTGCACGTCTTCAGCTATCACAGATTCTGCTTCGGCTAGTGCCTCCTCATATGTCTCTTCTTGAATAGGCCTCATTTCACGTCCGGATGATTCTTCTTTGGGTGGATAATTTTTCAATGGCATATACCCTAGGGATGCTTTTTTAGGTGATACGTTGCCATAGTGTCCAAAAGTATGACGTCTTAATGTTTTTTTCGGTGTTGATGCCGAGGCTCCCATTTGAAAGCGCCCGACAATAGATACTTCCGTTTTTAGTCTTTCTATCTCGAGCAGATACTCTTGTTTGCTTTTATCCATCTCTTTTAGCTTAATTGCCTGCTTTTTGAGCCGAGTTTCGAGATCGCGAGTCAAGTTCTGATATCCTTGAAGTGTCTCTTCTGTAGCTGACAAGATGTTTACTTTCGTTTTATTTTTGACAGTTTTAGTGCTTTGGGCGAATTCTGGTGTAGATCTAGTCTCCTCCTCTGCAGCTAAAGTAACATTCCCGATAATCAATGATTTGGCATTACCGCCAAGAGCCTGTGAGAGCAGTCTAGTCAATTTCGAATCGCGATAACTGATAAACTCCTTCCCCTCGCTTAGTTGCCTTATCACATTTCCTAATACTGACAAAGATTTGTTTATGTTAGCCCCCTCTTTAAGACGCTCACCAGCAGCTTTCGCCAGAGAAACTCTCTCAGAACCAGCTAAGTCATTAAGTTAAGGTAGCTTATATGTACAGGTCCATCTTTCTGATTGGCATCTTTCGACTCCAGAATAATCCGGAAAATCGTGTGTGATCGAGATGACCTCTCATTCATGCGAGTAGCTGCAACTCGTCTGATCTTATTGCCCTGCATCATGTTCTCCATAACTTTATCAACATTGTCTACGACAGCTTCCCTTGCATCAAGCAGCACATTTCCTTTGATATCTTCTCTTATAGTTAAACCCTGATTGCTCTTATCCAGGAGGTCATTGATCTTTTCATTGTAGATTTCAATATAACTGCATCTAATCAAGTACCTCTTATCAACCTGGTCTGCCACATGCTGGAATAACTGATTGGATACTAATTGGAAAAGCCCAGGATCTGTTTTATTGCCCAAAATGGTGTGTGTTTTGCCAGAAGATGTTTGGCCATATGCAAATATTGTGGCATTGAAACCTTCCATGAAGGAATCGACTAAAGGTTTTACTACAGATCCATATACATCTGAATTTGTACATTCCTGCTTAATACATGGTCGAATATATAAACCTCTCCATGGCGACTACTTTCATCGGCTTCCCATATGCAGTTTACTCTTACGTTCCAAAGACGCTCTAGACCATCGGCTACTTCGCGGTGGATCATTGGTCTGATCTTTGTGGCTACTTTAATATTGTCGGAAGTCATTTTGGAAGCTTGAACTGAAATTTAATTAGAACTAGGGCTATTTCACGGGTTATAAAGAGGGGCACTTTTCATAATCCAGATTTCGTTTTGGCATTCCAGTTCAGCCATTTGATCCTGAAGCTCTTTATAGTAGAATCATTATGGCATCGTATATCTGAGATTTAAATGAGTGGTTGACCTCACGTTGGTTACTCTCGTCCATCAGACTCTTTACGTCATTTCTCAGTTTAGATTCAAGTTCTTTTAGGAAGCCAATTTCATCTTGCAGTTCAGCAATGTGTGACATCGTTACATCAGTTTGTGTAGCAGCACTTAAAGAATCTTGCTATCTTCGTACTCAGCGTCAAGCATAGCTTCTAAGTCTGCAACCTTCTTTTTTGACTCAATATTTGAGCTTCAAGAGATGGTTTAGGGCTCTCTGATCTTCCTAGGTTCTTCAGTTGAGTACGCAGCATCTCTATTTCTGACTCGTATGTTTTTAGTCTTTTTATTAGTTTTTTCCAGAAATCGAGTCTGTATTGCAAGTCGATGAATTCTTGCGCTTTTTGAGAATTTTTTTGAACTCTTTCTATTTCTTCGTTGTACGCATCCGTTACTTGGCGGAGTTTCTGACTGTAACGATCGATTTTAGAATTGGCTTCTGTGAGCTGTTTCTTCAGGTCCAAATCTCCAGCTGATTATCTAGTTTAGTGAATTCTCTAAGCTCATTGAAAGATTCTTCCAGTTCTTTGCGTTGTCTTTTAAGTACACTTGCACGTCTTCAGCTATCACAGATTCTGCTTCGGCTAGTGCCTCCTCATATGTCTCTTCTTGAATAGGCCTCATTTCACGTCGGATGATTCTTCTTCGGGTGGATAATTTTTCAATGGCATATACCGTAGGGATGCTTTTTTAGGTGATACGTTGCCATAGTCTCCAAAAGTATGACGTCCTAATGTTTTTTTCGGTGTTGATGCCGAGGCTCCCATTTGAAAGCGCCCGACAATAGATACTTCCGTTTTTAGTCTTTCTATCTCGAGCAGATACTCTTGTTTGCTTTTATCCATCTCTTTTAGCTTAATTGCCTGCTTTTTGAGCCGAGTTTCGAGATCGCGAGTCAAGTTCTGATATCCTTGAAGTGTCTCTTCTGTAGCTGACAAGATGTTTACTTTCGTTTTATTTTTGACAGAGTTTTAGTGCTTTGGGCGAATTCTGGTGTAGATCTAGTCTCCTCCTCTGCAGCTAAAGTAACATTCCCGATAATCAATGATTTGGCATTACCGCCAAGAGCCTGTGAGAGCAGTCTAGTCAATTTCGAATCGCGATAACTGATAAACTCCTTCCCCTCGCTTAGTTGCCTTATCACATTTCCTAATACTGACAAAGATTTGTTTATGTTAGCCCCCTCTTTAAGACGCTCACCAGCAGCTTTCGTCAGAGAAACTCTCTCAGAACCAGCTAAGTCCATTAAGTTAAGGTAGCTTATATGTACAGGTCCATCTTTCTGATTGGCATCTTTCGACTCCAGAATAATCCGGAAAATCGTGTGTGATCGAGATGACCTCTCATTCATGCGAGTAGCTGCAACTCGTCTGATCTTATTGCCCTGCATCATGTTCTCCATAACTTTATCAACATTGTCTACGACAGCTTCCCTTGCATCAAGCAGCACATTTCCTTTGATATCTTCTCTTATAGTTAAACCCTGATTGCTCTTATCCAGGAGGTCATTGATCTTTTC